CCGGCGCCCCCGAGCCCGCACAGCCCCGGGCCCCCGGGGATGCCACGCTGGCCTTCGTCTTCGATGTCACCGGCTCCATGTGGGACGACCTGCTGCAGGTGATCGACGGCGCCTCCCGCATCCTGGAGCGTAGCCTGAGCGTGCGCACCCGCGTCGCCAACTACGCGCTGGTGCCCTTCCACGACCCAGGTAGCGTCCCCGAGACCCCCACTCACCCAGCCCCTGCGACCGCGCACAGGGCGCCTTCTCCGCAGGTCCGACCTGCTGGGACCCTTTGGGGGCAGGTCTTGCCTCCGCCCCTTCCCTCCTGGGGAGCCCTTCTCTCCCGCACCCCTCAATTCCCAGGCCGCCTGACTTTAGCAAGAGAACTCGCACTTTCCCCTTTATGAAATCCGGAGAGAAGTTGAAAGGAGGTGTTGTCTGAGACTTAGCAAGAGAGCGCTCGCAGGATTGGTGTTGGTTTACTTTCGGTTAATAGTACCTAGGTCCCAATTCCATCGGGGACTTGGGAGCCCAGAAAAGTTCCAACGCAGCGCAGGGGGTCCAAGACGGGCGGCACGGAGGGAGCCAGCTCACCCTGCCCATTCTTGCCCCCTCACCTCTTCCTGGGAAAACTGAAGCCCTAACCCCACCTCTTTGCCCAGGTGTACCTTCCCCTTTGCCTGCCCAGTGGCACAGACGCCCTACCCACCTTGCCCCTGCCCATCTGCTGCAGGCAGCACCCCTGCTTTCAAACCTGGAGAAGTCCCCTTCGTTTCAGCAGAGAGTGAGGGGCCCAGCCCTGGAAGGGGTCCTTAGGAGATCCCACCGTAACGTGTGTTTGAGGTTTCCAACCTTCTTCTTGCGTTTAGAAGGACCGCCTCCCCCAACCCAAGATTTTATCTTGTACAGAAAATTCTGTCTCGCACACAAATACAGTGAACATCTGTATGCCCACCTGCTAGATCTGAGCCTAATAGGTTGCTCTGTTTCCGTTACCGCATGTCTCCGTCTGCCCACCCCTCGATCCGGGATAGTGTTTTAAAGGTACATGTACACATTCTGCAGTTCTCAGGCCAAATTGTTCTGTTCACTGTTCTTGTGCTGAGAAAGGACACCCTGACCCACGGCTGCAGGCGTGAGGCTGCCCTTCCAATCACCACGTCACGGCAGATATTTGCAGCGGGCAGGTAAAGGTCCGTGTAGTCTTCAGCTGTGCTTATTGCCCCCGGTGGTGGTGGTGGTGGTGAGGGGGGGCTTAAGGGTCGCCCGCTTTCAGAACGTCTGGACTCTCCAGAGCTCTGTAGCCCCAAGTCCATTAGCCAGAGGTCTGGAAAAAGATTTCTAGGAACATCAACAGGACAACAAGATCCTGCTGTGGTTGGGGGGTGGTGTCAGGGGGTAGGCAGGGAAGCTTGTTGTGAGGAGGTGGGGGGGGGGATGTGCTTCCTCCTTACATCCCTAACTCTCTGTGCCTCCACTGCTTTCACCACTTTCTCCGTTGTTCTCGGGCTCTCCCGGGCATTCTTACATCGAGGGAGTGCAGGGACCATATCTAGTTCGCTCCCTTACTAAGCTTTCATATTTTTTTCAACACATCTGCTTCTAGGTGTGGCTGCCATCTGACCCTCTCCCACCCCCACAGCCCCTTCTGATGGAAGCAAAGGCTCTTGTCAAATGTATAATCGCGGACAGGGTCAGAGGACCTAGTAGGTTGGTAAATGCTTAGTGGGGAGTCTGTTCCTAATCTTAGAGTTGTGTGAACGGAGGCTCAGACACCGATGGGTTGACCGAAGACCACCTGCTACAGTGATGTAATTTCTGATTTATGTGTTTCTAAAATACTTGAGTTGCAAGGTAGAGTACGTCTTTCAGAGCCAGACATGGTGCCCCCAGACCCAGGCCAAGGCTCCTGAGGGCTTCCCCCACCTCTGGTCGCCAGCTTCACCAAGCCTCTTTTCATCTCCCAGCCTTTCCCTTATCTGGAACCTTCTCGGGGCTCATCCTGTCATCCCAGCCTCCAGGAAGCAAAATGCCAACCCCTCTCATCTCATCCTCCAAACTACTTCCCTCAAAGACCCAGGTCCAGAGGAGGAGGGGTACTTCAGGGAGTATTGAGCACGTGCGTGCAGACCCTATGAGGGGCAGGGTATGTGCCAAGGCACTGGCAGCGTGTTGGGGACAGGTCAGCAGAAAGGGTCTCAGGTGTAGCTCCTGGCCTTCCACCAGCAAGAGAGGGGACGTATGGAAGGCTATCTGAGCATGAAGCATTGGCACGAAGTTTGAAGGACATGAACAGGTATTTGTTGGGTGCTGGCCATGAGCTGGCCACTGAGAGTTGGGGATATAGCAAGGACAAAGGGTCCCTCAGCCC